ATGAACGTAGAAACGACCTATATGAACATTCTAGTCATTAGATATATCTAGGGGCTTACCTCGAAGCTTAATGGAGGTTTTGGAAATTTTCCGGCGAAACTTCCGGCGACAAAAGCTCTCAACTCCGGCGACCTTTCACCAAATTGGCAGCACCACAATATTTCTTACACTCTCAAGAACACAATGGAAGAAGAAGTAGAGAGAATGGTGTAGAAATGAGAAGGGATGGGTTCTCTTATATAATGAGAAGGAGAGAAGAAGAAAACAACTATGGTGATGGTGAAGGGTGATTCTGCGATCGGTAGTGGTGAAGGAGGCGCCGTTCGCACAGTGTCCCTGATTGGGACCAATTTTGGTTCCAGCCGGGGTACACTTTTTGGTCCAACTTTCTCCGAATTGAATTCCGTTTACACCGTTGCGATCAGACAGTCGAGCTCTATCCAACGATATATTTTTCATAATTATTTGTAATACTTTTTCTGACATCATATTTTTGGGTGTTTGATTTTAACAGAGTCAAAATTGGTTTAATTGACCTTTCTCATAAAAGGTTCTCTCATTTAATCCATATCAATTATTCTCATGATTTATTTCAATAAATCAATACAAAGTTCACATCATAATTAATTATTTATTCTTGATTTGGGTCTGTACTCAGGTTCCCAATCAAGAACACACAAATAGTCCACATATTGGATTTATCTTAATTAGACTTATCCAGATTTTGATATTGGATAAAAAAAAATATTTCATATCAGCCCAAAGCCCAATAATAATCAAAACAAATTTGTTTAATCGAATAATTATTTAATAATAATTCTAGGGTATGTTTCGGGGCGTTACAATAATAATAACAATAACAACAACAATAACAATAACAACAACAATAATAACTATAGTACTACTTATGGTAATATTGGTTATAGAAGTATTTAATGATTAGTCAGCTTCTTATTTCTATTTATGATAGATATCTTATTTTAGTTAGTTTTCATTCCCTATTTCTAGTTGCGTTAGAAGTTTTTCCTATATATACGTACTCTATCATGTAATCCATAATTAAATGAGTAATATTGTCATTCCAATATTCAAACAAAAATATTTATAAAAATGACAGTACTATAAAATCATTGTTGCGATTACCTATGTTTTAGGATATAAATAATCACTTGATAAGAAATTCATTACAAAGACACATTAATTTTTAATTTATAGTTCAATTAAGTTCTTCACTATTCTAGTTCAATATATTTATGTCCAAACAAATGGGCTTTTACATAATGGAATAAACTATTAATTCTTATAATCTAAGATATTATATTATTATAATAATTATAATTAGTTGTTTATATACAAAATAAATAAATAAGAATAAAAACTATAAATCAAGTAAAAATGAAATTGTAAACTACTTCGTAGCTAATTGATCTAATCCAACCTTTTCAAATGATGGGATTTCTTATGCTCAATTTTTTCTCTAAATTACAGAGTAAAATATTTCATCTGTCCCAAATTAAACTTCATGTTTTTTCGTTTCGAGATGCCACTAAAATAGCTTCTTCTTTTTCTTCAAAAGCTTTTTGTGGCTTGTTATCTCCCTCTCATTTGCATCATTTTCAACCATTCAATCTCTCATTTCTTAAAGTTTGTATCAAATCCAATCAAGAATATTTATTTGGGACGGATGGAGTATCTTTAATATGACTATGTTCGTCATTAGTTCAGACTTTAGTGACAAAGAATCAATCCAACCAAAAGTTTAACTATGTGGTTGTAGACCTAGAAAAAAATCTTATACTTTAACATGTCTTCTCACATGCAAACAGATAAGGCTTTGATACCATATATAACAAATCAACCCAATCAAAAGTTCAAGCATGTAGTTTTATAACTTTGTAGACCCATGAAAGTTCAAGCATGTAGTCACTACTAGAATTACATTAGGTCTTTGCAATAACATTTTCTACATTAATGTAAATTACTCCCTCCGTCCCCAATTTGATTACAAATTGTGGGTTATTACGGAGTAAAATTTCATACTATTTGAAATCATTTTATTTACAAATTGGTATATCAATAAGATATAAAAATTACATATTAAAAATTATGTCAAAAGTTCTACAAAACAAGAGGTAACAAAAATATTTTATTTTATCAAATACTTAATGAAATCGCGTAAACAAACAAAAGTTATCGAGAAAAGAGAAAAAAAATTGTAATCTATTTAATGAGGGATGGAGTATTAAAAAATGCTAAGGCTCTTCCTAAACGAAGTCTAAATTATTCCTATAATAGTTTTAAATTTGTATTCTAGTGATTTTTTAATTAAATATTTGACATAAAAAGAAAAAACGATGCATCATTTACTTATCTTAAAAAAACCACTCTTTTTTTATTTTTTTAAAAAAAGATCCCCTTTTAAATATTTGCGTTAAAAAAGAATTGTATGGTTCACATAATTTGTTTTATTCAATTTTCTAACGCAATATTTAATTCTAGAATAATGTGTAGATTCTTAACACCATTCAAGTTTATGTATAAATCATAATTAGTAATATACGACAAACGTATAATACGTAAATATGTACATTCGTGTATAATACGTTAGGATTTTATAAAATACAACTTACTATGCATATCAAACGTTCAACTACGGATACAGATACGTACGCATTTTAAATGTTTTCTATTTTTAAAATAGGTGTTATTGATTGATAGTCATCGGTTCCTGAACCACGGATTTCGGCGCCAGCACCGGTTCCGTACCTGTAATGTGTCCAGACATGTGAAGTGAGCAAGAAGGTGAGTAAAAGGATCTGGGGCTAACTGGCTGGGTACTATTTGGAGCAAGTGGCCGGTGGAGCACAACAAATACCTTTACAAGTAGAATCGGCTTCTTCTTCTCTTCTAAACTGAGCATTTTTCTTAGTTGATCGCCATGGCAACGGAGCTTTGTGTCAAGGCAGCTGCTGGCGCTCCTGATGATCTCGGAGACTGTAATCTCTCCACTCCCTGTTACAAATTTATCTCTTCTTTGCTGGTGTTCTTTTCTTTCTACCCCGAAATCCTAACAGTTTTTGATGGGTATAGGCCCATTTTGTCAGCGAGTAGCTCTCACCCTGGAGGAAAAGAAGATCCCTTACCAGACTCGTCTAATCAACACTAGCGACAAGCCCCAATGGTAACGATTCTACTGGATTCCATTCCTGATCGGCACTAAATAGATAGGGTTTATAAATTTTCTTTTAGTTTTGATTGTTGTTGTTGTTGTTGTTGCGTATATTTCGTGTATCAATAACGTGTGATCTTTTGTTGCTATCTATTTCGAATCGATTGGGCTTTTGGATTTCAGGTTCTTGGAGGTAAATCCAGAAGGGAAGGTTCCATTGATCAAATGGGATGGAAAATGGATTGCTGATTCTGATGTGATTGTTGGGATTATTGAGGAGAAATACCCAGATCCACCTCTCGTAGTCCCCTCGGAATTTGCCTCCGTGTAATGTTCATCACTACTCTCTCCATTCATTTTATCCATAAAGAATGTATTTATATACTCGGTTCATCCATAGAAAGGTTTTCTTTGTTTTTGAGGATATAAATGAAGAACTAGACATGGTGTGATGAAATACTTTTATTCTCTGTAGAAATTATGAATCACACATTTTTTTAATTCATTTAATGTTTTAGTTGAATTTTAGTATCTAATTTGTCAACTCTCTTTTAATTTATTTTGGACAATTTACATGAAATATTAGCTTCTTTTGATCGAAATATGGACTCGTTTTTGGGACAAACAGAGAAGTGTTTGATACATGACACTTTTTGAGGGGATGGGGGGAGTAATATATACTCTTTCCGTCCCGAAGTCCACAGTTCACATGTTCTTTTTTTGTTGTCCCAAAATAAACTTTAACTTTGCTTATTTCCTTTTAATGAATGGAACATGTGACTCAGAATTCTTCTCTCTAAACCAATTCCAACCACGCCTTTTTTTTTCTAATACTTCTTAAACTTAGTGAAGTCGAATTGTGAAACTTAGTTTGGGACCAAGGGAGTACGTAGTGTGTCACAATGAAATTTGAACGGCAATCAATACTTTCTACCTTGTTTTTTATGTTGTCTTCTATAGATACTAATAATTTTCTTCTATGACTTGCAGTGGCTCTAAGATATTCCCTTCTTTTGTTGCTTTTTTGAAAAGCAAGGATCCAAATGATGGTACAGAGTAGGCGCTGGTTGAAGAACTGAAGAAACTTGATGAACACCTTAGCATTCATGTATGGATTTTTCATTTGCAGATTGCTGTAAATGCGCTTATTATATTACATTATGTCAACCTCTCTGATGGATGTAAAGCTAATATGACTTGCATGTTTAGGGACCTTTCATCAATGGAAAGAATATATCTTCTGTTGATTTGAGTTTGGCGCCAAAGCTGTACCACCTTCAGGTTGCTCTTGGGCATTACAAGAAATGGAGTGTGCCGGAGGACTTGGATCATGTGCATAATTACATGAAGGTATTTGTTTGTCTCGTTAAAATAAAGCATATGTTAGTCACTCTTTGCAACGGTTGTTATTTAGAAATGTTTGAATAATTAGTTACACCCTCCGTTCAGATTTAGTTGTCCACTTGTATTCATTTGTATGGAATCAGTTGTCCACTTCAATTAAGAAATATCGATGAATTATCTAAAGTATCCTAGAGAAGATATGAACATTGTGGACATGAATGAGTGACAAAACTCATCTGAAAGACTAAAGTGACAATTGTAAATGGGATTCTTTTGAAAATGGACAACTAAATCCGGGTTGAGGGAGTGTAGATATGAAGCGTAAGGTTCAGACCTAAGCTCTCTATGCAAGCACCCCATTTCTGCAGAAATGCCAAATTTAAACAAAATTTGGTGGCTTTTTACTTTTTAATTTGAATAACAGATGCTTATTTAAACAAAATTTGGTGGCTAGGCAGGAGGCCCGCACGGCCGAGTTCTGCAAAGTAAGCAGCGTCAACGACCGGCCAGCCTATAGCCCCTCCATAAATTGTTGCGCCACTTACGAAACTGGACGCGGCAACCGGCTCTCACCGCTTGCTTTGTTTTCCTTACTCATTAGTTTAAGGCAGTTTTTTCGGGGTTCCAGCTTCCTTATATTTATACATATCCGGCTCCCCATCTCCCACCTCTAACGCCGGTGTGGGACAAAATCCACTAATTTCAGATTTAAACACCCATCACTAGTGAGTACTATAATGGTTTCTTGATTTACACATCTTCGTTTACTTTGATTTTTTTTAGGTGTTGGGTGGGTATTATGAGATTGTTCTCTTTAATTTATTTTTGATAATTATTATTTATTTTTATTGAGATTAGCTCAGTTCAGATCCAATCAAACCAGATCAGATCAGAAATAGTTTTAAATATAACCTAATTCAATTTAGTTCAGATCATATCAGACCATAACAGAATCATTCAGATCACGTAAAAAGAACAAGCTCTATCTACAGAGTGTAATCGAATCTAGATAAAATAAATGTACTATTTCCGTCCAACTATTTTTGTCTAATTTGATTTTTTCGAGTCAAACTAGACAAACGTTGAGCTTCAATTAATCTTAATTTGTATTGAGCATTAGCATGATGAAAAAAATGGAAAGTTTTCAATAAGATAAAACTAATAAATCTTTTTTATAATAATATACATTAAAGTTTTTGTTTGATTAAATCACAAAATCTATTACGTTTGACTCGCAAAATCAAACTGAACAAATACAGTTAGACATAGGAAATTATAATTAATATTAACATAGAATATATTTTTTACAAAGAAACAAAATGCGTGAAAAATGAGAACTTTTAATTTTTATGGTGCCTTGTAAAGAGAGTGTTTATTACTCCCTTCGTCCTAAATTTTTAAATGGCATTGGTCTCATTTATTTAATTAATTATTTTCATTAATCATTTGTTAAAATACTGTGGTCACGTCATATCTTCTTTTATATAGAATTTGATATAGTTTATGAAAACATAAATTTATTTAAAATTTATGTTGGGCCTGTTTGGGAATAGCGTTAGAGATTAGCGTTAGCGTTTTGGATAAAATTTTAACGGTGCAGATTAATTTGAAAATGCTAAACGCTGTCCGTAGATAGCCTTTTAAAAATGCTAACGCTAATCTCTTATGCTATTTTCAAACAGGCCCGTTACGTTCCTTTGTTTAAATGCAGAGTAAATTAGATTAATATAAACTCATCCAAATATTGTTATTCGTAATAGCACAATTATTATTCCTAGCATTATTACTTTACATATATGGTTGGACTTTGGTAGCATTCTTAGTTATGGTTGGAATAAAATTATGATAGGATTAAAAATTTATTTATTTGTTATTCCCTCTTCCAATATAAAGAGATGTTTGACTTTGTATTTCGTTCAACAACTCAACCTACATGATACATTCTCCTATTGTCATTTTATCATGCTATCAAAGTAGATTCTCAATTATTGAGACCTCAAATACGCCTCCACTCCCTTGTTAGTGGGCATACATACACAATTTAATACATACAAACAAGATAGTTCGTGTAATCTTTTAATTTTTTGGTCAGAAGCTCATCCTCACCAAGGAATCACATTTATTAGTTTAACAAAGAACAAATTTGTTGAGCGAAATGATGTTAAATCATTATTATCTCATGTAAATTGATGGAGTATGATAAGGTTTTGAATGATATATCGTGGAATATAAGTAAAGACATTATTAAGAGAAAAGGGATGGGAGGTATACTAGGAGCTATCTAGATGTAGTAATGTGTGATTAAGATTTATTGCCAACAACAATATGTGTAGGTGAAGATATACATAAATTAAATTGAATAATGAGATACAGTTTTTGAGTTGGAAGAAATATGGTGAAAGGCGCCATTATCTATGAATAAAGTGGGGAGGGTTAACGGAGGCTCACCGTGTCAAAGGTGTGCCCAAGGGAAGGGGGAGTTTATATGGATTTGGGGTTTTGTAGGGTGTTGGATAAGGTTGCAAGTAGTAAGAGGAGGGTTTGTGAGACCCTTACGGGTCTAGGGGTGGAATAACGTATGGCACCAAGTAGGGTCATTGTTTGTATAAGTTGGTTATGCGGCCATGGTATCAGTAAGGTGTATAAGGACGTAGGTGGACATAGATAAATTAGACCAGGAGTGAGAGAGGGAACGATGATGAAAGATAGGCGGGTGCATAGGGACTCGTCACGTTGCGTCCATGACCACTACCACACTGTCCATGGTCGCAATGACAACGTCCTCGCACAATACTTGAGTCAGTACAACTCTTGTTTGCAAGTGCCGATATCATTAGGGGGTTATTGTAGTCGCCAATACTTAATTAAGATGAGGACTGCCTGCATAGGAGAGGGTTGTTGTCGTTGGCTTTTAAGTCTACAATATATTGTTGTTCCACCAAAATTAGAGCACACCTTGTTCCCATAAATGTTAGGAATGGCTTCTCAAAAAGTAAGAAGAAGTGCGACCAGAAATTTGCTAGGAGACCGCATAAGACTTGCAACACTAATGTTTTTTATGATGTGGCATCTACATTGTCGAGACAATTAACCAAATTCTTAAAGGTTTGGAAATATAATAATGAATAATTGATTTAGTGACCTTGATCACCCCCTAAACTTATGTTTAAGTTGCATTGCTCGTACATTTTTATGGTCATAGAAAAGATCATGATTCGTCATCCACAAGGCACGAGCAGCTGAGTTTGATTCACTGATGAAGTATAATACTCATTGGAAAATGTGGAGAGAATCCAACTTTGAAGTACGTAGGACATCAAATTAGATTCATCCTACATCATCATCACCATTCACCAAATGGTGTGACAGAATAAAACATCAAACAAAAAGGAAAAAAAGACAACTCCATTTTTTGTAATCATGTTTCGAAATATTGATTGAGTTAGACTGAAACACGGAGTTGATGTTTGAGATGGAAGTGAAGACAAGATGGTGAGAACTGTAGGTTGGACTGTTGGAGGTGTGCCTATCAGAAGTTCGTAAAATTTTAAGGCTTAAACTTTGATATCATGAAAAATTATCTTCCTCAATAATCAATAATGAATTGAAGTTGATACGAACAGAGAATAGAGAATATGGGGGTAAATGAGCAGCCTTTGTCACATAAGGCACAAATGAAACAAGAGACTAATTAATGTATGTTGTAGAGGTGGGCACGGGTCGGGACAGTTCGAGTTTTATATTGCCTTGCATCTTGTCCCGTTATATTCAAGCGGTTTGGAACAGGGATCATAAACTTATCTCACTTTATCCCACAATTTTCGAGACTATAACCAAATGAAATGAATTGTCATTCTTTGTCTTAGTTCGAAGTTATAGATAAGATACACAAGAGGATGAGGAGGTAACTAATTTGTATACTTATAACAAATTAATAAAAAATTGAAAACAACATGTACTCTTGCATAAGAATGTATATATATATATATATATAACGTTGTGGCTATCCATAACACGTCCATTGTGATATGCATTACATACATTGATGACTAGATTACAAATGAACTACACGAATTTTGTAAGATATTGTAGTGGACCAGAGTAATAACATCCAGGAAGCATGAAGGGACCATTGTACTTATAAACTATAATTGATTGAATTTGGATGTAGGGGAAGACGGAATGAATGTACGAAGAAACAAATAGTGTTTATTTCCCCAACACACTAAACTCCGAGTGCCAATTTTTTGTAGTAACATTTTAGAACTCAAAAATTCCATCAAGATAATCTCTAATCTCACCCTTCACTTGGATTCATTATACTCCGTATTATTCAATTCCCATTTCCCAACTGAACTTTTTCTTGACAACTTTATTCTTAATTACCCAACAAAGCCTATATACAAATGCAAGGACGCTCATCAAATCCGGTTTATAATTACTTGTCGCGATTTGAGATTATTTTCTCGATCACTGCACTTGTCTCTGCTTGCGACATTCGGTCCGATTTTGTTTGAGATTGAGCATATGCCGCAAAGAACTCTGTATTTTCTTTCTCTAACTCTTTCCATACTGTGTAACAATCAATATAGAGTAAATATATATCAATTGAATACTCTCTCCGTCCCAGAAAACCTTTCTTTTTTTTCATCCGTCCCATAAAAAACTTCTCATTTCTATTAAAAAGTCATTTTTACTCCTTACTTTTTCATACCCTACCTATCACATCATACCTTTTTACTAATAATCTATCCATCAAATCATACTTTTACCCATCACATCAAAGGACATTTTTTGAAAATTCAATACCAAAATACACTCTCCTTAAATCTCCCTCCAAAACCAAAACTCTCATGTTTTCCGGGACAGAGGGAGTAGTATTATACTCTCTACCAATGCATCTTAGGCACATTTTTCGTAAAGGCAAATTCTATGGTGGACCTACAAATAAGCAAAATAAAAATTTTCTTAATACTTAAATAAGTATCTATTTTTAATACAAAGTTTAAAAAAAATTATGTGAGAAAGTTCACAAAAATATTATGCACCCAAGGTGCAACAAAGAAATATTGAACCATATAATATATCCATTGAAGTGACTAAGAGATTTTCAATTTAATTTGTACTATATGTCATGCATGCATAACTTCAATATATAGTTGACTCGGTTGCTTAATTGGTTTAATTGTATATCTTTTCTAGTTGGTCATCAACCAAGGCCACACATTGGAACACTCTTTTTCCTATCTTTCGGAATCCTCAGTACCGAGTATATAGGGTGTTTTTCATGGGGACGCTTATTAACTATGCTTATAAACATTTAGAAAAATATTCTTTTGTAAAAGAAAAATGACTTAAATGATAGTTAAGTCATATAGAAATATTCATAAGTGACGAGAAACTATTTTGTAAATAGTTTGGTCAAAACAAAATTTTAAAAAACTGACTATAAAATAAGTAGATATATAATTGGTTTATAAATAACTTATAAGTTACTTTATAAGCACAGAAGATATGTCATCAGTTAACTTATAAGTTAAAACCAGCTCAGAGACATGTTTGACCAACTTTAATCATCATCAATTACTCTCAATTTGCATAAAATAACATTATATTTAAAAATAATTATCTACAATATATATTTTAAAAAACATTTTGTATACTAATACGCATTACATTTTTATTTAATTAAATTCTAAAATTCGCCTATTTTGACTTAATTGAAAAGTCAAATAGGACGAGTATATGCATGGGACGGAAATAGTATAATTAATATTTCAAAACTATGTTTCAAAACGAATCTATTAATATTAAATTTATATATAAACACGGTGTACGAACACTCAAGACAAAACGAGTGATTTATATTCTTTTTTTCTTTTAAAAAATATAATTGAGAGATAAATTAGGATGGGAATATATATTTATACAAATATAAACAAGGTAGCTAGCTAGCCATTGCATGCATAAGCTCACCAGTTGCAGTTATGACTGGCTCTATGTTTGCATGCTTGGAGAGAGCTTCCATGCACTCCTCTTTTGTCATGTGGAAGATCAAACACTTCTCTATCAAATGCTGCACCTGCATATATATACATACACACACATATATACACACATATATATAGACCCACCATCATATAAATAAATTATCTATGCAAGTAAATATATACAATAATCAATCCCATGTCACCAAAACCAATAAATTATATATCGCAGATGATGATGAAAAATACATGGACACACACACACACACACGATGATGATGAGGAAAATAATTAATACCAATTAATAACATGTTTTTGTACAAATAAATGAAAACACTAATAATTGCATGCCCATCATATCAATCCTTCCAACTATTAATAATGTAATTAATTACCATATGTATATATGTAGAAGAAGAAGAAGAAGAATCCCCCATAGCTAGTATAATGGTTGAGTTGATAGGTGAGGAATTGAATGTATAAAAGGGAAAAATTCATTATTTATGTAGCATATATGAAGGAATTATATGGAGTGTGTGGGGTAGAGAGTCCCATGTGGGAGATGAATGATAATTGGTGGAGAAGGGATTAGAAGAGATATGTAAATGCATATTTCCTTTGTCTCATTGGATAGACAGTGTAGAGGACGACGGAGCCTCCCCTCCACGTGATGATCAATGGGTACACTACCCAATGTAGAAATTGTTTATCATCCAGGATTTGTTATAAAAAGAAATTTCTCTTATCCCTCCACTCCTTAAAACAATTTTTCATTTTTCTAAAGAAATTTCTCATACTCCATTCACTCCTTAAAAAGCTTCTCATTTTTCTTTTTTTTGTCCGTCCATAAACAAACTTTCCTTTTCTATTTTAGGCAAGTTTTTATGTGTAAAATATCCTCTTTACCCATATCCCTTCTTCCTCTTTCTCCTCCTTTCTATTAAGGCCCCGTTCCGTTCAACTTATTTTTTCTTATTTTTTCTTATTCTTATTAAAATCAGATCAGATCAGATCAGATCGAATCAGATCAAATCAGATCCAATCAGATCAGATCAGATCAAGACTTATTAAAATAAGATCTCATCAAGAATTATTATTATTATTATTATTATTATTATTATTATTATGATGATCATCATCATCATCATCGTCATCATCATCATTATTATTATTATTGTTCTTAAAAATGAAAAAGAATAAACTTTAGAAATAGGTTAAATAAAAACCTGAAAAAGTAATCCTTAATTATTAGACGTCGGAAAAATTAGTTTTAAAATACATTGACAATGTCAATCTAATTCTACTTTTAAAANCTAATTTTACAAAAAAAATATCATAAAATAAAAAATATTATTACATTATAATATGAATGATTATTCTAATATATGAATTAACTATTTTTATTTTATTAAAAAGGAATCATTAAATAAAAAATATTGATTATATTATAATATGAATTATCATTACAATTTTCAAACGTTATTATAAAGTCAAATTAAATTATTGATTTGAAATTTTAAATTAAATCATAATTAATCAGATCAGACCAGATCAGATCCAATCAGATCAGATCAGATCCAATCAGATCAGATTAGATCAGATCCAATCAGATCAGATCAGATCAGATCCAATCAGATCAGATCAGATCAGACCAGATCAGATCAGAACTTATTAGAATCAGATCAGATCAGAAAAAATAAGTTGAACGGAACGGAGCCTAAGTTGCATCTTTGCGGGAGTTTGATTGTCACCCCGGCCCACTACTAGATTTGACCAGATCTAGATATGCACGAAGGTGACAAAAAATTCAACTTTTCTAGATCTATGGTGGGGTGTAGGTTCTCTTCAACAAGAAGTCTGAAAATAGGTCTCTGTGATGAAGGAGGTTGTGATGGGGGGGGGGGGGTTGCAGGTCTGCGACAACGGGATGTTGTGGAGGGTGGTCGGTGATAAGAACTAGATAGTTCGTCGGCGGTGAAGTCGAAGAGTCACCGTCCGTGGGGATAGCAACGTTAGATGGCAGTAGGGTAGAAGGGCATGTATAGTGGCGGATCCAAGAACTCAGTAGATGGGGGCATAATTGGTGGGGGTTCTCGGGGTAGCGCCCCTGGATTTATTTTTTAAACAGACAATATGGAATAACAAAAAAATAACTAATTCTATTTTAAACATTTATTGAATGTAAATAATTGTTTAATATGTAATATAAAATCTTATTATAAAAAATTAATTATATTTAATAAAATACACTTCAATAAAATCTAACAAAAAACTAAAAACTAGCTTAATTACATAAGATTCTATTAAATTTTGTTGGCAGCACATAATTTTAGATGGGGTCAACCGCAATTTAGATGGGGGCATGAAGTCCAAAGTAAATAATTTTTTTTCAAAACAAAAACAATTATTTAACACCAAAATTTAGTATGAGGCATTGGCCCCCAATTTCTTCTAAGTAGATCCGCCCTTGGGGCCGCAGATAAACTGAGGGGTATAATAGGAAAGTCAACCATTTTCATAACACATAAATATACGTGCTCAGTCAAACCATGAAGATTTTTATGAACGGAAGTGTAGAAATTGATAAGGGAGAAAATATTCAGTATATTGAATTGACTTGTGATTACAAAGGTCTAACCCTCTTTATATAGGAAGAGAGTAAAGCATATAAGTAAACTTTTATTCCTACCATATTTCTATTCCTACTATAACAAGAACTAAGCAAACTAGGAAAGATATTAAACCGAATCCCAAAGGGATCCAGTTTCCTTCTTTGATCCGGCTTCCTTATTCTGTCGCCAACACCCCCCCCTCAAGCTGGAGCATGAGAGTTCAACATGCCCAGCTTGGACATCAAAAGATTGAACAAAGCAACAAAGCTTGAGGAAGCTGCTACCATCGTTATCCAAGTGTCATCTAGACACTTCAATTTTTTCATCAACGGAGACGCCAAGCTTTTCGAATCCGCCGAATAATTAGTCGAGTAAAGGAACGCCATTCTTTTCGAACCTTCACTGAATTCGAACAAACAGGGGGAACGCCATTCTTTTCGAACACCCTGAACGCCGACTTTTTTTATTGCCTGCTAAGGAAAGAGTTGTCTGTCTCTGTATAACAACCCTTCTCGGACAACTTCTTCAAGATTGATGGTTGGGCATGATTCCTCGACAGCAATGTTTTTCGTTGAAGGAGTTCATGATATTCTTTAGTGAGGAAAAACAATCAAAGAAAATCAAAACTTATAATATCCCGCCGGTAGGCATTGAATTGTGTATGCCCACCGGCAGGAGAGGAAGCGTGTTTGAGGTCTCAAGAATTCAAAACTTGCTCTGATACCATGTAGAAAATAATAAGAGGAAAAATATTCTGTATATTGAATTGGCTTGTGCTTACAAAGGTCTAACCCCCCCTTTATATAGGAAGAGAGTAAAGCATATAAGTAAACTTTTATTCCTACCATATTTCTATTCCTACTATAACAAGAACTAAGCAAACTAGGAAAGATACTAAACCGAATCCCAAAGGGATCCAGTTTCCTTCTTTGATCCGGCTTCCTTATTCTGTCGCCAACAGGAAGGCGTATATTTTTTCTCATTTCACTCTTCATCATTTTTAATAACAATATTTTGACTATTTCATGTTTTATTTTGTTAGATTTTTTGTAGGCCGAGTGAATCGGGCTAAGTATTGTGTGAGATTGACAACTTTTAATTTCAATATAAACTCTAGATCCATTCTCTAACTCTGATCTAAAACTTAAGTCAATAGTGATAGACACTTTATTTTTTTATATGAGAGTAATATTGCCCGGTAGAGTATTACCCCATCAGGATATATATCAAACACGTGATGTGTCTCATTTAAAAGAGTCATAAGAGTGTCACTCGAGGGGGTGGACACGGTATGGTTCCTGTTCTAGAACCACCGATTCCGGTACCGCCACCCCTTGGTACCGCTACCGTGACCGGATTGGTCGGTACCGGTTCCGGTACCCGGACTTCGGCCACCCCCCAATTATTGTTTTTTTTGTTTTTTTTTAAATTTTTAAAGTGTAAAATTGTAAATGTGCAATTGTAGACTTGGCAAAAAATGACACGACCTGTTTTTTACCTGAAACCCGACCTGAAAACACTGAGTTTTGAACAAAGGTTTTGATGACTAAACCCGAAGTCGACCGAACCCGAAATGACCCGCTAAAAATGGGTCAAATCCGACAGAACCCGACCTGGCCGACCCTCTAAAGTAAGAATTTTTCAAAATCATACACTTTACTTCTTGTTTTTAGTGTATTAATTTATATTTTCAGACAAAATTTTAATGATATTGCATAATTATCTTACTTTTTCCAAAATTTAAGCATTTTTAAATTCCTTATATTGATTTATAAATAAAAAATTGCTTCAGAGTTTAGAATAAAATAGTTTTGTAGATTTAATACATTTTTTTTTTCATATTTTGAATTTATTTAATAGAAAATGTAAGTGTTAAGGTTAATTTAAAAATTTAAAAAACCGAAATCATAACCCGTTGGGTCGACCCGAACCCGATGACAATGGGTCATGAACATACATTTTTCAACCCAAACCCAAATTGACCCGAACTCGAAATAACCCGAACATGAAGTGACCAAACCCGAACCCGACCTGACCGACTGATTTTTCAGCTCTATGCAATTATTAAAGGAAAGAATGAAATGAAAAAATCTAAAAATGTAGTTGTTATTTAAATATTGTAAAATGAGTAATACACAATCTGAAGAACAACTGCATTTAATATCGTGACGGTTCAAAAAAAGCGACGAGGTAAAGAACCGTAAAGAAACCCTCGAAGGAGCTTATATATCGCTCACCTAAAAAACTAATTACATATCTACCTTAACATTAAAAAAAGGTTATAACTTATTCCTCAGAACTCGGGTTTCGATCTGTGGTTGCATTCATGTAATGTTCGGAATTGAATTCGTATCCTAACTCTTGAGCTCGACGTCTTGCCAAGAGCCAATCTCGGTTGCAAACAACTGTTTCAAGAAATTCAGCGCTAAGACAACTTCGAAAGTCGGTTAGAATGTTGCCGCCATCATTGAATTTTTGTTCCACTCCTACGGTTGATACCGGAACGGATAAAACTTGTCTTGCTAGCATTCCGAGACATGGGAACATGTGTCTGTTCCGCTTCCACCATCCGAGGACGTCAAACTCCACATCGTCGTCGTCGTCGTAATCGCATGGCACCCCTTGGTACATAGCAAGTTCGTTGTACGAGTAAAAATGTAGTAATAGTCAATTAGAATTTTATAATTTTCAATCTTAAAGCGTGGATCACAAGTAATACCTATTTTATAAAGATCAGGGATGTACAAATAATAAGCACACCATTTATCTTTCATAGGAGAGACATAAGGGTACAAATCTGGATCAGCCACACTTTCACGAAAACATGTTGCGATTGTAACGCACTCTTTAAAAAATGTATTTGTAGTTGGTTGGTAAACATGTGAAAAAGTAAGAGTTGTGTTATTAAAAACTTCTAATACGACATTCAATTTTTCAATAATAACAAATTCAATAGGTGAAATCATTAAAAGAAGTTCATCCCTAAAATACTCAGCAAGTTCCTCTTTGTAGCTTAGAATCTGTGTTATCAACTTATATGTACTATTCCATCTAAT